TCTTAAATTACGTGTCCACCCCAACGTCTCAATTATTATGGAACGGAGGGAGTATGATTTAGATTGCCTGAATACAATAAACAGCAACTTTAAGTAGCTTTATTATATAGGCTAATCGAACAACAGTTCGTTGAATGGAATTGGGAAATTATTTCAAGTTAAGCTGAATCGGCGGGTTCAAATTATCTCTGACCAGGTAGGTTTTGGATATCAAGTCAGTTGACGTGGGTTGATTTCAGCTATTATTAATTACAGAGTTAAGAAAAGTTAGGGGCACATTAGGCCGGTTATGTTTACATAAAAATAAGCTCGCAATGGTGTGGTTGAATTTGATCTCGAGGGTTTGGTAAATTATATTACAAGTTATTATATCAAGTTAATAGTTTCAAACTGATACTGAGTTAAGGGTGAATTCTCTATTTAGCAGATATTAGGTTCACAACGCATGTCGGGTTTCCTACAATGATCTGGTTCAATCTTTGATATCTCTAAGATTATTTTGGAGATTCTTTCTTTTGTAGATTTTTGGCTTATGAATTGTACTTCCTACGTTCTCAAATATTGCAACATGGAAATGAGATACGGATTTTAAGAAGAGAGAGACGATAGAGAGTGATATGGACCCCATGTAATGAGGAGAGAGAAAGATAGAAAACACGTGCAAATAAGGAAATGTTCGTTGCAATATTTGTGAAATTCTTCAAGTAGTACACGTTGCAATATTTGTATAACGGAGAAAGTATTAGTGAATCTTACCAATTTAGCACATTGTTCTAATTCCCTTTACATGTACTAGGTGAACTAAGCCACCCTAACAATGTAACAACTCTTGCTTAAGTAAATGTCGTTTGAAAAAAATTTGGGTAGATAGAAATCGATAATTGCAAGAATAATGATAAAGACGGGATTCAATCTCACATCTTGGATACCGTACCACCCTAAAACTTTAACTAACTACTCCGTAATATAGTTGACGCTCAGTCACTCGATCACCTTAAAAAAATGTTTTTGTGATTTGCAACAATTTTATACCCTTAATTCATTTCAAACAAAATTAGGCAGCAATTGAACATAAACAAAACGATACAACTACCCATGTGAGATATGAATATGAACATGGGATGAGATATAAATTCCATATATGCTTAATCCATGCCGAAGGATAAGGCCATTAAGGATTATGTACGATTCTCTTCATATTTGCACGATTGCTCCAAAGCCCCCACCAATATGCTAGCTATATGACAATTTTTGCATTAGCTCATTTTACCAAAATGAAATAGTATTTTTTTACTAGGTTTGAAGGTTCAATTCTTGATATACAGTCTTTCTTAGTGAGGAGATAAAATAGGAGGTCATTAAAAAATACTTATCTTTCACAATTTTTGAATTAGCTCATTTTACCAAAATGAAATAGTATTTTTTTACTAGGCTTAAAGGTCCAATTCTTGATATACAGTCTTTCTTACTGAGGAGATAAAATATGAGGTCATTAAAAAATACTTATCTTTCACAATTTTTGAATTAACTCATTTTACCAAAATGAAACAGTATTTTTTACTAGGCTTAAAGGTCCAATTCACTGAGGAGATAAAATAGGAGGTCATTAAAAAATACTTATCTTTCACAATTTTTGGATAGCTCATTTTACCAAAATGAAATAGTATTTTTTACTAGGCTTAAAGGAACAATTCTTGATATACAGTCTTCCTTACTAAGGAGATAAAATAGGAGGTCATTAAAAAATACTTATCTTTTTTTACTTCCTACAATATAATCTTTCATGTTTCTCTATAATGTATAATCAGATCATTAATGTATTTAGGCCAAAATTCTATTCACCTAATTTTCTTTTATTTCAGGTCTTAATAAAATAAGTTCAGATAATTTTAGGAAAAATAGATTGTGGTAAATGTTATCCAAGTTCAAATTACAACAAAAATAATTTTTTTTTTTTTTATTTTTTATTATAGGATCTAATAAGATTAGATAAAATAGGATAAATTCAAATTGTTAAAATAAAATTAGGAGAATTGAATACACTCTTAATTATATATAACTTCGTTTGATTATGAAGAGGTATTGAATACATACTTTTTCCAAGACTCAGTGTTTGTATATCACCAACAACAACAACAAACAAACAAAAAAAAAAAAAGAAATTGAAAATATCAAATCGAGCTTGGTATCATTTAGTAACAAAGAACCGTGTAAAATACTTGTATTCAACATCCACATAAAATACTAAGAAAATTACGGGTATTGAGCAAACATTGTCCCAACTGCTATTATTAATTCCAACATTACAGTATTTTGATAACACCTTGATTTTGACGATTTTTGACAATAAACACGATGGTCACTTGAGCTTGAATTGAAATAACAGCCGAAATGTGACATTCCAATATGAGAGTAGTTGGAGGGTCGAATAAACTACACAAGTTGCTCTTATTATTAGGGGGCTAAAAGGTTGTAGTATTGGACATATTCTGTTCTATTTTGTATTTTCAAACTTTGATCTACCTAATAATGTACATCATCTTAAATTCTTAATTGTTTTTAAATACGAAATACACCTTTAATAGTTGTGCTCCTTAAAAATCTTCAAATGAACTAAACTGATAAAATGAGCAAAAATCCTTTATGTAGGTCAAAATTTTGCGTAAATTATGTTATTACTTCCTCCATCCTGTTTTTTTGGGTCATAATTTGAAAATTTTTACGTGTTTGATATTTTTTTTGTTTTTTTGTCATAATCTAATAATAACTTATCACCTACATAAATTTAATACGGAGTACGTATTCAAATTTTATCAAACTGATAAAATGACCAAATTTTGTGTAAATCATGTAATTACTTCCTCCATTCCTTTTTTTATTTTTATTTATTTATTTATTTATTTTTCTCCCATTTAGGACCATTCTTAATCAAAAGATTGTCTCATACTATAATGGTTTGCATTATATTAGTTCATTGAATAGAAATGCATTTGTACGAAATCTCATACTCCGTATTAAGGAGGAATGGATTCAAAATTTGGTACTTATTAAAGTTGTTTGGTTTATTGTTGGAATGATTTCTACATCAATTCACCTTATTAATGGAATGAATTGTTAATAATAGGGGAGAGGTGGGCGTGGGATTATAAGCAATGGGGTATTAAAGTTCACAAATTCTTATATGTGGTTGGCTGCGTCGTGTGGCTAACCATCATAGGGGTTACTTCGTTAGTATAATAGGGGTTACTTAGTCAGTGTTAAAGGGGTTACTTCGTCAGTGTTATAGGGTTACTCGCTCATTATTAAAGGGGTTTCTCGGTCAGTATTATTGGGGTTACTTGGTCAGTGTTACAGGGATTACTTTATTCTTTTATAAGTGGTCACACGGTGTGACTAGCCACACACAAAACGGGCTGATTAAAGTTAAAACCTTCTTAAAAAAAGGTTTCACATTTAAGAAGTCTAATTAAATAATAAAATGGATCAAACATATTCTAACTTCATTCCAACCAATTTCAAAAAATCCAACCAATTCCAAAAAAAGAATCCAACCAAACAAACCCTAAGTGAATGAGACCATAACTTTACTCTTATCAAAATCACTTTACACCTTATATATTTTTCCTCTGATCAATTTTTGCTCAACTAAAACTTAATTACATTAATAGGAAGAAAATATACTTGGTAATTTAAATTTTGTTCAAGGGAGGCAAAAGATAAAAAGGGTGACAATGATTGTCGTCAAAATGAGACCCATGTTGAGTACGTTGACAGCTCGGTGCCATAATCCAGCAAGGTCGGTTCACTATTTAGCCCAAATCACGTGGTGGGGGCCCTTTTCACGTCCGTTTGCACGATAAAACAAACCACAAATCTACCTAAACTGTGGCTTCTGTTTCATCACTGTTTTTGTAATTAAAAAAGTGACTACTTTGACAAATACAGTATGTATGATTGAGTGGTGATCTTTCAATCAATGCTTCGTCGCCTTTTGTAGCTACCGTTTTCAGATCTCACTTACTCTCCTCTCTTCACTATTCTTTTCATTTCAAGTGGTAAATGAATCCAATGTCCACTTGTATACTCATTGTCATCTTGGCTATAATTGGCAGATACAATATTAATAATACTCCCTTTGTTACTTTTTAATGCATGCAATATTCTAACTCACTTAGAGTTTTATGTGATTAAGTTGAATTTGTTAAAATATTATGTAATTTAAATTTGTCTAGCAATTAAAATCTGGTAGAGTACATCATAGTCAATGATATCTTGCTAATTTTGTACACCTAAACACCTCGTATTACAAAAATGGAACTTCATAATAATGAAGCTATTGCACATGTCATGTCTAGTGAAAAATATGATAAGGTACTTCAAACAAAGTAGTACATCTTAGCTTCATGAATCATGCAAATGTCAAATAATAAATAAATGAAATAAATGAATCCTCCATGAATTCTTAAGGTTTATTAGGGAATTTGAATTAGAATTGAGTACGCAAGAACAATAAGGTATCTCAATTTAGCATTGTAAAATTGAAAAATCATTTTTTATATATTTGCATAGTGTTCATTGATGTACAACCATGTCTATTTATTTTTCATATTTTTTCATGTAGGGATGGTCCAAATCAACAATGAAATAAATTTGATTATACCATATGAAAATTACAACCAGTTTTATAGCAAAAGTATTTGTATAGCTTTTGTTCTACATTAGAGAAACTTTTGAGTTTCACACTCTGCTAAGATGCACAAATCATTTGGATGCCCTCAGTAAAGGCTCGGCCATATACCAATTGTACAATGTGCATAATGTGACCAGTTATACAATATATAGATGCTTTGATATAGCTCTGTTTGACATAATAGCAAGTTTTTTTAAGATATAATTGATTAATCACAATTATGTCCAAAGTAACAAAGGTATAGTATAATCCAAAGTTGGTGGATATGATAGAATATACAATATATAATAGTAATATTAAAAAAAAAAAATAGAAGATAATATGATTTTTATTAAAAAAAAAAAAAAATAGAACATCCACAATAGTAGCCTCCAAAACCTCACTATCCATTAAATCCACTACATATATATACTCAATAAATATAAAGGAATCTCATAATATGATAGTGACGATTATGAAAGACGACCCACATTATATAAATTAATTACCACCATGATTTGAAGAATTGTCAGATTAAAATGAGCCCCACAAATTCAAACTCTCAAATGGTACAAGAACAACCAAAATAACTCATTAAAAAACAAAGTTCCATCTTCAAATTTTGATTCACATAATTAATTAAGCAGATAATCTCTGGTAATCAGCAGGGGCAGCCTCTTGGCCTCCAATGAAGATGAACTCGTAGATAAGACCGGCGATTCCACCACCGATGAGGGGTCCGGCCCAGTACACCCAGTGGTTGGTCCAGCTCCAGCTGACCAAGGCTGGGCCGAATGACACGGCGGGGTTCATTGAGGCACCGTCGAATGCACCACCAGCTAGGATGTTGGCACCAACAATGAGACCAATGGCTAGGGGAGCAATGATTCCAATGTTGCCCTTCTTGGGGTCGACGGCGGTGGCGTACACGGTGTACACTAGACCGAAGGTCATCACAATCTCAAAGACTAGGGCGTTCCATACGGTCACGTCTGCGGATAGAGCAAAGGCAGATGTTTCCTGCACAAAAATTAAAATGTAACACGCACGTCAATTTATGTACGTACGGTTCTAAATAGTTAAGATTATCTTTGTCAAGATTTTGCAAAATCTATTTTACTTGTTATTTGCTAATCACAAAGGTAACAATTTGCGCCAATTTTCAGTCTTCAGAGAAAACCTTCCTAATTTTCATACATCATTTCATTAACCACAAACATATTGTAAAATATGAAATCATTGCAGGCTGCAGAGGCTTGCAACAATTATTGGAGTTTTCAAATACTTCCTCCGTCCCATAATATAGTTCTTATTTGTCTTTTTTACGGTATTTAAGAAATAAAAGAAGAAAGTGGATGAAATACATTAATAAAAGTGAAAAGTACAATTATAGACAAAAGTTAGAGAGAAAAAAATGGAAAAAAGCACAAGGCATGTGCAACATTCAAGGGTATTTTAGGAAATACCATGAATAAAGGTAAAAAAAGTGAAGGTATGATGGTCTTTACATACTATTCAAAAATAAAAACTACAACAATATTTTAGATCTCCAAAATAGAAAAATAGGAACTATATTATAGGATTGAGGGAGTAACAATTATTGTAGTAGATAAGGTTGGAAAGTACAATAAAAGATAAAATATAAGTTAAGGCATTAATTTTTATTGTTTTTATTTCACCTCCCTCCAAAAAAGATCTCGCATTTGAATATCATAGTTTTAAATTGGCAAAAGCTAACGTGCGCCTCCAGAGCATTAGATAAGAGAACTAAATGTAGAAATATTAAAGTAAAATTAACATTAATTACGCCGATTGACACGTGATTTTATCATGCATTCCTAATACTATTTTAAGTAATATATTACTTAGTTATCTAACGTCACGAAACGCTTGTTAGCAAGATCCTTTTAAATTAAGTCTTTTAAAAAAAGTTATGATGTAATAAATAAGAATGTTTATATAGTAATTATTATGGGATAAGGATAAAACTAAATGCACAAAATTAATTGATATATTTTATCAATAAAAGTTAAATTGGGTGGGCTAATGATAATACACACTATTTGTTCAATTTATCCCTATGTTCTACTAAATTCTCGTTTTTTATTCTCGAGTCTCTCGTGCTTTTTCTAGATGTCTCTATTTGACACTCAATTATTAAACGTGGTGTATAAAAATAATTACGACTATCCTCACTAGCGCGAAAGCCGTTGTACGTTAGTCACGCAAGCTTTTCATTGTACCATTTTCCTCAATAGTTTTTCATATAATTGAATTAATCCACACAATTTAGAAGTCGTCATTGTTTTTGTGTGGCCTCTTTTTATTTGATTTAAATATTTCTTTTATGATATATGATTTTAAAAAACTTTAGTATTATTTTAATTAATTATATGCATGATATTGGGACAAATTTAGTCATTACTATTATCCTTAATTAAGATCAAAAAAGAATTAAAGAAAAAATAGCCGATGAAGTATAAAATCTCACTGCAGTAAATAAGGTTTGATTTCTTACCTAAAATAAAATAAAGATCCTTTAAAACAAAAGAACATTTACCTAAAAAATGCGGTACTAAAAGAATTTGCCAAGAACAAGATAAAACGTGGATACTTGATCCTATCATACATTTCACGAGTTCATTCATTCATTCCCCCTATTTTTTTTTATTTTGCTGAAATTCATGTCATGTCAGACTGTCATATGGTAGCTAATTAAGCAAATCCGCATACAATCTCGTATTTCTATGTATCCAAATTCTGTACCAAATTGGTAAATTCACTAAATTGTGATATCTATCCAGTTTATTAAAAAAATTAAAAAAAAACAAAAAACAAAAAAAAAAAATTGGCCCCTACTCATAAATTCATCAATTTTAATGTTGGTTTTTATATATCATGTTTTCTCTAATTTTTTTTTTGTTACCATTTGCGTTTTCAACAATTCACACCCTCCTCCACAACTTCATGTTGTGATTTTACTATGTACACGTAGTATAATGTATAAAAAAAATTATAATTCTGTGGAATTTTGTTAAATACGTCTTAACATATATAATTTTATGTAATTACATATTAACTTATTAAAACCTATATAACTAAAGAATATTTGGCAAAAAAAACAAGTCCTAAATCAACAACAAAAAATGCAATCATGATCCTAAATTACTACAATTTTATTTTAAAAAAAAAAAAAACTAAGTCATTTTCCACCAAATGTCAACATTAAAAGTACTTTCTTACAAATATTCTTTGAAATATTTAATGATGAAAATATGTATTAAGATATGGTAAACCCCTCACGTAAAATATATACGGATGTATATACCGTAACGAAAGAGCTTCTATATATTTTCAAAAATTATTTTCTAAAATACGCAATTATAAATAACTAAAAATAATACGATTAAATTTAATGACAACCATGAAAATCAAAATGTTGCAATTAGGAAAAAATCAAACCGTTAAATAAAAGGCAAATGGTAAAAAAACAAAATTAAATAAATAACATACCAAGCCACCAGTGGAGAACTTAAGCAACAAGCAAGCAACAGAGGAGCCAGCAAGTTGAGCAATCCAGTAAACAATTCCATTAAGAAGAGAAATATTACCACCAATAAATGCACCAAAAGTCACAGCAGGGTTAACATGTCCACCGGAGATGTTAGCTCCGACGGACACGGCAACAAAAAGCGCAAAAGCATGGGCAATGGAAGCAGCCACAAGCCCCGCTGGAGTCGCAGCGGCTCCAGCGGTAAGCTTGGCGAAAGCCATACCAGAACCTTGACCGGCGAAAACAAATATAAGGGTGGAGATGAACTCCGCCAACCCCGCCTTTAAGGTGTTGGGGTGGCGGACTTCATCGGCGGTTCCGACGGAGATCCTGCTAATAGGCATATTGATCCCGGACTAATAATTAATTAAAAAGAAAAAAGATTGATGTGATGAATTATTTGATCGCTCTTTTTTGTTCTAGTGTCTTCTTCGTAGAGATGGGAGCACGTACTTTATAGTAGAGTTGTCTAGGGTGAGTGAGGAAGATAGGTTGGTAGTGTAACCGGCGATAGCCGGTTACCCGGTGGAAATAATGATATGTTGCCATGTTGGCGTGTTTGGGATGGGTAACCCCATTGGCCAGCCTGTCCATTATGTAAAATATAACATTTTTTTTTTTAAATGCTTTGATGTTGAAATATTGGTTTATAAAACGGATATTGGAAGAAAATTCTAGAATATGTCTTTCACCGGCCATTATTTTTCTTAATTTCGATAGGACCGGCCACAATTTTTTTTGCCATTATAACAAAATGTCTTTGGCTTTATACTCCACAAGCTGAAAAATGGGTAACTGTTTCTCATTGTGAGAAACAAGTTTTATTTCTCATGGGGTATGAGTCAAGGTTTGGGCTTTTACTCATGACACATACGCGGTCTCTACCAGTGAAAAATATCACATTATTTTCTAAAATGTCATTATGAGAAACAAAGTATTTGTCATAATGAGGAACTGGGGCTCCCTCCTGAAAAATAGGAAAAAATGATCGAAATAAATCTGACTTTTGCCTCTTCTGTCCAAATTAATTCCAACTTTCAATTATTTTTAATAATTGGACCTTAAATATCAATCCACTTACAATGGTCCCAAATGACCGTTAACCTATTGAATAGGTAATTTTTTTTTTTTTTTTTTTTTTGGTTTTTAAGTACATGCGTCACCACGTAATTTATCTAAAATTTAAAATTAATTAAAAAAAAAAAAGAAACCGACAGCCCCCAGCCCCCAGCCCCAGCCCTGCTTTTCCTTTTACCTCCTCGTCGGCGCTACCCTCCTTCGTCCTTTGCCTGAGGGCGACAAACCCTAAATCTCTCTTTCTCTCTTCCACCACTTTCAATCATCCACCCCCTTCGAACCTCTCTCCCGTCTTCGCCCTCATCGACGAGCTCGATAAGCGTCGCGCTCTTCTTATCATCGTTGTCGAAGAAGAACACTCTTTTGCGGGCGGAATTGGGACGGGGGAAGGGAAGGGGGCTGGAATCGCAACGGGAAAAGGGAAGGGGTTTTCGAGGGTAGTTTAGTGGTTCGGGGGAGGGGGAGGGGAGGAGGGTCGGCGGTTTAGGGGGAGGTGTTCGGCACGACGCTCCGCCGCTTGGGGCAAGCAGGGGGTCGGGCTGGTGGGTGTGGGGCGGTAGTGGAAGGTAGTTGGGATAGTTTTTTTATTAGTTAATTATTTTTTTTACCAATCAGATGCCGACACGTGTCATTTAACTTGTTATAACAAGTTAAATGACCGGTTGGGATCATTTTAAGCGTACTGACATTAAAGGTCGGATTATTAAGGAATTATCAAAATAAAGGTGGGATTATTTTGGGCGGATGAGGCAAAGGTCAGATTATTGTTGGCAATTTTTCCAAAAAAATATACGTAAGATATCTATTAGACTTTTATTTACCACTTTATTCTAATAAAAAGTAATAATAAGGGGCCGTTTGGTTGGGGGTATTCAATAAAGGGGATGGGAATCAACGGGAATCATTCCCTTTGTTATTGTTTGTTAGGCCACTTTTCCAATTCCCTTTACCCCCTTCATTCCCACAAATCCCTCCAAGTTCATTCCCCAACCCCCCCCCCCCAGGGTATTTCCATTCCATTCCTTGGCCACCACCACACTACCATACCACCACCCTCCTACCTACCCACATCACCAGAACCAGCATCACCGTCGTCACCGTCTTCACCTTCGTCACCGTCGTCGTTGCCCTCCCCTCCCCCAAACCACCATCACTAAAACCTCATTCCCCTCCCCTCAAACCACCAACGACACATCACCGGAAACAACTCCCCTCCCCAAACCCCTCGGCTACCTTCGTCGTCGTCGCCCTCCCCTCCCCCAAACCACCATCACCGAAACCTCATTCCCCTCCCCTCAAACCACCAATGAATCTGAACGTTGGAGCAATGGGATTGATACGTCATCGGAGTTAGGGTTTTTTACGTTGTGGGTAGGAGTCGGAGAAAGGAGAGGGAGCGGCAAGGAGGCTGGGGTTGGTGTCGTCAGCGCAGGGGAGGGCTGGGGTGTTGGTAGGGGGTCACCGGAGGCCCAGGAGTAGAGAAAATTTTAATGAAAGAGATCAACAGTGGTGGTGGTGAATCTAGTGATTCCCATTGTTTTTTTTTACAACCAAACAACATACTACATTTGAGGGATTTTCATTCCCTTTGTTCATTTCATTCCGTTTACCCCGTACATACCAAACGACCCCTTAATATTAATAGATGCAATTTAAGATTGGTTGAAAAAAAATCATAAAAAATATTAAAAAAAATATTTTAAAAAAGTTGATTAAGTCATGGAATATTATTTTTATTGAGTAATAAAAAAAAAGGTTGATAAGTACTTGTATAATTGTACTCCGTATTATCCTTAAGATTAAAATAGAATGATAGTTTTTTTTTTAAAAAAAAAAAAAAATTAAAAAAACAAGTTAATGAGGGGTAATTTGAGAAAGTGAAATTTATCAACTAAAACCCCTCTTCACTCTATATTATTATGTTTATTGCAAGTTTTCATTATAGGATTAGTTCATGTTGTCCATGATTAAGTAAGGTAGATTTTTAATCACCTGGTTGCTAATGAAATTATTTATTATTAAAATTAAAATTGATTTTTATTGAATGTAATTGAACTTTGTTAATTAAAGTTATATTTATTGATCGATTACATTTATTTTAATCGATTGTGAGCATAATTTGTTATATAATACTACCTCTGAATATAAAAATTGATTATCAAGTTTTTTTTTATATTTATCAAAATGTAATTGTGTAAACAAATAATCATGTCACCCCAAATATATCCAATGATTGAATAAGTACAGCTCATCTAATTCAGCTCGAAATTGAGTGAGGGTCGAAGAATTATAATGTCCACAAACCTTGTAAATATTGGACCTAAATATTTTTAATCAACTCTAATTTTGTCTAAAACCCTTCTGATCAAACCCTTTAAAAAAACTTGACCCATTCTATGCCCTAATTACCTCAATCTTGTCTAATGGCCTAAAATCCCAACAAAATTCTTCACAACCACGGAGCCTAAAGCTATCCCGTTGAATCTAAACTGACTTTAAACTCTACATATTATGCTCATACCTAGCTCGGTACACTCGAATGCCAACTTGGATTAAATCAGTATGCCAAGTGGAATGATGTTATATATATATATATATATATATATATATATATATTATATATATATATATATATATATATATATATATAGCCAGGCCACGAGACGGGACACTTGGTATTTCAGTTTTTCGCCAAGTGTCACGCCAGATAGGAGATAAATAGGTATTATTGTGACACATATGAGGCTAAGTAAGCGATTTTTGGATAGATTTTTTAAAATAAAATTGTTGTATAGAGTTTTATTATAATAAAATTCTAATATACAAAATTAATCATAACTTTTAATAAATATTTTATAACTCTATTCTATTTCCATCATCAAATCCCTTTTAAAAAGTTCTTTAAAATAAGATCCATTTATAATATATTTAATCACAAACTTTTATAAGTAGCTGGCCAAATCATGTCACCAACTATTACAATAGTTTCTTCGTTAGTGCTATAGGGGTTACTTGGTCAGTGTTATATTAATTACTCAATCAGTGTTATAGATAGGGGTTAGTTAGTGTTAGAGGTTACTCAGTTAGTATTATAGGGTTACTCGGTCAGTTTAATAGGGTTACTTTGTCTAGCTAGATGGTGCGGCTAACCACATACAAAATGCATTGTTGTTTAATTTATTTAAAAATAATAATAAAGAATCAGTAAAAATAAGTTTTAATTAGTAAAATTAATTTTAGTTTGGTAAAAATACTTTCAGTTCAGTAAAAATAATTTAAGCTCAATAAAAATAATTTAAAGTCAATAATAACATAGATATCTATTTACAAACAAAACTAAAAAAAGTATTATTATATAAATATAAGTCATATGACATCATATGTCTAAATATCCTACATTATTAGAACGAATTATTTGACCGTATTTAACATTTAAGTATAAATGTTATTTTAAAATTTTATCAACCATCTGGGCATCGCCCGGGCACAAAACTAGTATATATAGAAAACCGGTCTCGCAGCTAGGCCACGAAACATCGACACTTGGCATTCCAGTTTTTCGCCAAGTGTCGAGTCACGTAGGTGACAAATAGATATTATTGTAACACATAGGATGCTAAGTAAGCAAATTTTGAATAGATTTTTTTAGGATAAAAATGTTGAATAGTGTTTGATTATCGATATACTTCTAATATTTCATATATCCAAAATTAATTATAACTTTTAATAAATATCTTATAACTCATTACTATTTTCATCATAAAATTCGTTTTAAAAAGTTCTTTAAAATGAGATCTATTTATAATATATTTTAATAAAAAATAGAAATCAGTAAAAATAAGTTTAAATCCCAAAAAAGAATTTTAGTTTGGTAAAAATACTTTATGTTCATTAGAAATAATTTAAGAGCAATAAAAAAAAAAAACCAAGTGAATTGTAGCATAGATATCTATTTAAATAAAACTACAAAAAGTACACTATTATATAAATAACCGATGATATCGTATCTCTAAATATTTTACATCATCAAAAGGGGTTATATGATCGTATTTAACATTCAAGCTTATAAGTTTAGGACAATCCGGACATCGCCCGAGCACAAAACTAGTATATATATATTCATTCTCCAATTTTCAACACACAAAAATGTGAGCCTAAACATTGGTATTAGCCTAAACCCTCCTCAAAACTCCCTTTCAAGTATCGTTGAATATCGTTAAGCTTTCAAGATAACATCATAAACGTTACAACTTGGTCCATGATCATCGAGTCTCCATTGAGAGGATTCTATTAATCTTTAATAGGTTGCACAACACATTTTTAAGGCGTCTTGTCAGCTAGTCCAATCTAGTAAAAAAAGTTGACCC